TATCCTTTAATGTAACTTTAAGATCAGACCTGGATTATGGGAAATGCTCCATTGGTCTCTCAAAGTTGACTTCTTATTTTTCCAATATATCTACTACCGAGATCCTCCAAGCCTCTAATAGTGCATTGGATACAATCACTGCGTCCACCTATAGAGAAATGGTGTTAAGAGTCTATCATGGAGCCTATATCTCTCCGCTTAAGTCTTAGCTCATGGGTCTAAGTAGCTCCTGTAGATGTCTGAAATGCGGCCAGGAATCAGCAGGTTTATATCAAGCTTTTTGGAGCTGCCCTGTAATCATTTTGGAATGATATTGCCCAGTATACCCGGCACAAATTGGTGCCTCTGTTGGCAGCTAGGGCGATTTTTGGAATTTGAGATCTGCATGGAGTGAGAATCACTCCCGGATGTAGAAAGTTATTGTCTCTTATATCTTTGGTGGGAAAGAAATGATTCTGCATCAATGGATGTATTCTGAACCACCTTCTCTAACTCTCTTCGTGAGCAAGTTGATGAATGTTTTTTAAAATGATTGGACTTAGACAATGCTTAGTAAGGATACACAAACCCAAAAGTTTTTTCATGTATGGGAATCATTTATTGACTCTTTACCGACTATTACAAAATGAAAACGAATGCAATCTTTTATTTTGACACCGTGGTATACTAGGAGGATCATTTCCAACAATCCCTCCATTAGTTATAGTTGAAAAAAGGAGAGTGGCCCTATCCCTGAGATTGGTCACTGCAAAATGCAATCTTTCTTTTCTGCCACTGTCTTCATCTAGATAGTAAACCTGAATTGTAGACGTATGTTTTGTTGCATATTCTAAGATGATATTTTTTATGAATGTTTTGGTTTTTGTACTGCTTTTGGTCTTGAATAAAAATAAAGGAGTTAAGAATGGTTTGAGGAACGCAACAACGAGCTTGAGGTGTTGGCCTCCAAATTCTCCAGATCTCAATCCAATCGAGCATCTGTGGGATGTGCTGGAAAAAAAAGTCCGATCCATGGAGGCCGATCACCTCATCTTACAGGACTTAAAGGATCTGCTACTGACGGCTTGGTGCCAGATACCACAGCATACCTTCAGAGGTCTAGTGGAGTCCATGCCTGGAGGGGTCAGGAGAAGGGGGACCCACTCAATATTAGGGGGGTGGTCATAGAGTCATGGGTGATCGGTGTATATTCTAATTTTTGTGATTGTGCACACCATATACAACGGTTTTATTTTATGATATGTAAAATACATTTTAATTATTCAAATCTGTTTTATACTGAACGCAATGTTTACTTTCATACATATCACCATAAAAATCCAAATGTTGTATCTAGCAGTTTCCTAAATATCATATAGAATGTGGTATTGGATTCCCCCCAGCAATGCTGCATTTCACAATTGTTACATTGTTATAGGTGGAAGTAGATGATGGATCTGTATCTTTCTCCAGCCTTACAATCTATGGAACTTTGGAACATTATTAACCACAATCTTCTTCTCCGCAGCTGTTTGGTTTGGGCTCAGTGGCGCAGGTGGTTCTGGGTAAGAAGCACTATGGACAATACTTCAGCATTAACCTTTCCTTTGGAATCGGTGTCACGATGGGGATCCATGTGGCCGGGGGGGTATCCGGTGAGTGCTCAAGCTTCCAGGATCAATAATACTACATTGAAGAGCAATGTGTTATAATGTCACCGGCTGTGTACAAATAGAAAATCTTATCCTTCATTAATGATTGTCTTGTTCTAGTAAGCTGGTATCAAAACACAAAAAACTGTAACTCAGCACTGTTTCCTCACCAAAGTACAGGTTCGCTCTAAAATTCTGTTGAGGTGCAATATAGCCTGATGAAAAGGGATAATAAAACTTGGTGAGGCTCATGAGACTGGAGATGGATTAGTTGAACTAGAACTACAATTAAATAGCACCCCCCCCCCATGGCTAGTCTGTCCACCTTGCTCTATAAAAGTTATAAAATATACTAAACATGTAGAAACTTCTGCTCCAAGGTGGCAATCACATGGTCAGATGCCTAGGCTCATTATTATAACAGTTTTATGTCATGACGATGCAGATGAGCTTAGTGGAGTTCTCCTTTAAGTCCCATTCCCACCTGACCCACCGTAACATGAACGCATTTGTGCGTGCTTGTTTTCCATGTTTGCTACGATTCTCCATTTATTTTTAATGGGGCCCTGTACACAGGATAAACACGGAAAAGTAGTGCATTATTATGCGTGTTTGACACACATTCCTGGAATGGCTTGGTGTGAATGGGTACTTAAAGGGTCAATCCACACAAAAGAGAAACTTTACTTTTTGTTAGATGCTGGAGAGTTAAACTACTTTACGGTCTCATGTATGTCGATCCTGCTGGAACCATGAGAAGGTGATCGCGCTTTCCTTTTGATGCATTTTAAGTTATGGACAATATATCAATATATGAGGAGCAGGAACACCCTGAGGCAGGTGGGAACATCTGAAATGAAAATGTGGGCGGTACTAACGTAAAACAACCTCTGAAACCTACTGGGAGATAAAAGAAGCTGATGAGTGACTCGGCCCACTGGGCTACGTCTACAGCTGAATTATGACCTTTGGGTGGATTGACCATTTGACCATGTAGAAAAAAATGATAATAATGTGACTGAAATGAACTGACAGCATCTTCTCATCTCTTCCAGGAGCTCACATGAACTGGGCCGTGTCCTTAACGAATTGCGTCTTGGGGAATCTTCCATGGAAGAAACTTCCCCTTTATATGGTATCACAGGTCGCCGGATCCTTCCTGGCCGCTGCGGTGGTGTTCTTCGTCTACTATGGTACGGAGATCCACTTCCTGGACTTTTTAGGATTCAGAAATATGACATTGTTCAGGTTGTTTGAACTGCTGAAGGACTCTCGCTGCGAATGTTTGTTGGGTTTTGTTCAGATTTTCCTTCTTTATTACGGTCTGGACTAAAAAAAAATAACAAAATATTCATATTTTGGTCAGATAAGTATAAATTGTTGTGTATGAAAACGTTGTATTCTTATCACAAGTGTCACACTTATCTCTCATGGGATCATGCAAGGGGTCTCCTCTCTGGTGTGGGGCCACCAGAACTTTTGAAGTGGCAACTCCGCGGTCAATCTGGAGACAGTTCAAACTGGCCGGTGTTGTGCCCAATCAGGAGTCGGCTCTCCTGATCAGTGTGGCTTTAAATTGCAAAGCAACACGTCACTAAACTGAGCCCTCTACTGTCATAGTCTTACCTGCGTCCTTGTGCCCAGTGTCTTCTGTGCCTGCAACTTTAGCCTTCTACATTCCTCCTGAGTCTCACTGGGATCCAGAGTCCTGCTGCTTCATCTATACTTGCCCCAAGTCCTCAGTAGTTCCACTATGCACCCACAGCTGTCAGCATACCCTGAGACTCCAGTTCATCCAGTGTCATCTAGTGACCCCAGTGCACCATGAGACTCCAGTTCATCCAGTGTCATCTAGTGACCCCAGTGCACCATGAGACTCCAGTTCATCCAGTGTCTTCTAGTGACCCCAGTGCACTGTGGGACTCCGGTTCATACAGTGTCATCTAGTGACCTTAGAGAGTACCAAGACTCCGGTGCATTCAGTGTCATCTAGTGCCCTCGGTGCGTCCTGTGATTCCAGTGCATCCAGTGTCATCTAGTGACACTGAGACCCCAGAGGTGACCCTGAGACCCCAGAGGTCTCTCCAGGCTGGGTGTAACCTGATGCGGCCGCCGTGTGTCACCCGCTGGGACGTCATCACGCATGCATGCAACATCATTACACATGTACATGATGTCACGCACACTTAACTGCCAGCAGAGAGAGGAGGGGACATTCATTCAATGGGATAAGGTATGCTGCCGGGTCCCCTCCTCTCTCCTTCAGCTGTCGGGCTCTCGGTCCATGACCGAGTGCCTGACTTTTCAAAGGGGGTGACACCAAAGTGACTGTCAGTCATTTTGGTGTTACCCCTTCTGATGGTGTCGCCCGGTGCGGGCCCCCTTGTGACGCTACTGGGTGACCCCAGTGTACCCCGAGTCTCCAATGCATTTAGTGTCATCTAGTGACCTCAGTATGCCCTGAGACTCCAGTGCATTCTGTGTCATCTAGTGACCCCAGTGCACCCCGAAACTTCAATGCACTCAGTGTCATCTAGTGACCTCAGTGTGCCCCATAATTCCATTGCATTCAGTGTCATCTAGTGACCTCAGTGTGCCCCATGATTCCAGTGCATTCAGTGTCATCTAGTGACCTCAGTGTGCCCCATGATTCCAGTGCATTCAGTTTCATCGAGTGACCCCAGTGCACCCCGAGACTTCATTGCATTCAGTGTCATCTAGTGACCTAAGTGCACCCTTTGATTCTAGTGTATCCAAAGTTATCTAGTGAGCCCACACACCTTGCTCAAAATACAACACTGGGGTCTAGTAGAGCCCATGCCTCGAAGGGTCCAGAAAAGGGGGATCTACTCAATATTAGGCGGGTGGTCATATTGTTATGGCTGAGCGGTGTATATATTGTATAGATATCATTCTTTGGAGTTCTCCCTTTGCTTTTATGTGCACATATTTTACCAACACCAGTGGATAGTTTGATGTTCTCCGTGGTTTGCATCTGCCAATTGCCATTCCTACACTTTATATGGATATCATTGATGAGGGACATACTCTGGTGCATCATAATACCCACGGGATATTTGCTATTGCAGTTGGATATTGTATGCGTCATTATTGTTGCACCTTAATTCCCATTTAGACTACAGAATGCAATTTTGCTATTTATCTAAATGGGATTGTTGATGGTATTAGGGAACAGGAATTAGTTTGTAGCATATTAAGCCAATGTTGTCTGTTTTTAATGACGATGGGAAAAGGTGGTGGAATTAAACAGTATTTTTCTAAATAAATTGCATTGGGGTCTTTTTGCAATAATTTGTGTTTCTAATAAAAATGTATTGATTTTCTCAGATAAGTATAATGATATCGCTTTGTGTCCTCGCAGAGGCCCTGGACAACTACTGCGGGGGGAATTTCACTGTAACTGGAGATTTGGAAACCGCCAGTATATTTGCCACCTACCCACAGCCGTACCTGTCTATAGGGGGCGGATTCCTGGACCAGGTGAGTAGAAGAATCTCCCTCTGTGTTATCAGTCAGAACATTGTACGGACATGGTCAGGTGACTTTGTGTCCACCAAATGCCAAACCCAGGATAGGCACAGCTCTGTTAAAGCTGAACTGCGGGCACAAATACTTTCATTGAAATATATTCCTCAATAGCCACAAATCGTAGAAATCCACTTTGTGTGCAGCAAATACCTTTGCAAATCCAGATATAACCATATAAATGTAGAAGTGATATTATTGATGCACAAAGAGCTGAGCTGTGAGAGGGACCAAACAAGCCCCACCCACTACAGGCTGTCTCCAGAAAACTACAGGAAGGGGCGGAAACAAGACTAGTCACCCTGCACAAGGAGAGAGGGCAGCAGTGACTGGTCTTTATTACAGGAGGGGGCGGAGATAAGACCAGTCGCCCTGCACAAGGATAGAGAGCAGCAGTGAGCGGTCTTTATTACAGGAGGGGGTGGAGACAAGACCAGTCACCCTGCACAAGGAGAGAGAGTGGCAGTGACCGGTCTTTATTACAGGAGGGGGCGGAGACATGACCAGTCACCCTGCACAAGGCGAGAGAGTGGCAGTCACCGGTCTTTATTACAGGAGGGGGCGGAGTCTAGACCAGTTATCCTGCACAAGGGGAGAGAGAAGCAGTGACCGGTCTTTATTACAATAGGGGGCGGAGACATGACCAGTCACCCTGCACAAGGGGAGAGAGAAGCAGTGACCGGTCTTTATTACAATAAGGGGCGGAGACAAGACCAGTGACCCTGCACAAGCAGAGAGAGCAGCAGTGAGTGGTCTCTATTGCAGGAAGCTTTAAGTCTAACACTGGATTACTGCACAGACACCCTCAATTTTTTTTAATTCTGTATTTCAGCTGTAAAGGTCTAAACAGTTTTTGGTGTTGCTTTTCTCAGTATTACATCATTGCCCCTGTTGGGTATTGTGCTATTAGTTAGTGTGCTATTACAGCCAGTGATATAAGAAGGGTGTTCCCTGTACTTATACCATTATTTGGTGACGGTCCCAGTTTATTTCCCAGGAGCCTAGGGAATAAGGACGGGAGACCCTGTTCTCCCTGTTTGTATACCTTGTCTTGAGTTCTTGACTCAAAGATTAAAATTCATTACCAAATATAAAAGCACTATATTGGCAAATGTTTGTGAACACAATACACACACACAAATGATTGAGTTCAGGTGTCTTCAGGGAAGGGCTCTGTGAATTCGACATCATATAAAGACATTGTAAACAGCAAGGCGGCTGAGAGAGCCAGATACACATGGAGTATGTGCAGCAATCTTTGGTCGGTGAGACATGGTCTACCTGCTGAGACATTAGCAGACTGTATGTTGAAGCTTTAGGCAAAGTCAGCTCTTTCCCAGTACAGGAACTTGCCTCCTGGAACTGCTCAGCCCCTCTGGCTGAGAGTCCTGGGTGACTACAACCCCCAGTTCTACAGTGGGATTGCCTCACAATACCACAATATATATATATATATATATATAATATAATAAACATACTCTGTATATATTACATATAGAAACAAGGTATGAAAGGAGAACTATGGGGTCAGGGCTTTTCCCCACAGTTCTCCTAAGCGTAATGGGAGGACACAAACTAGCGTCCTCCCATCACCCAAAACTCAGTATACCGCGAGCTGCAACTCGCGGTATACTGAGACGCCGCAGCCGGAACGGATCCCGAAAATTATGTCTGATCCGCCCAGCTGCGTGAGTGACAGCTGGCTCTGCCTATCTAGAGGTAGAGCCAGCTGTACCCGCCCCCTCCCCCGTCCGTTCCGCCTGTCAGCGCTGGAGGATCGGAGCGGTGAGGGGAGAATCCAGCCCCTCCCCTGTCACGGCACTCTGCCGGCACAGAATCGAGAAGTGAGCAAAACCGGTATGTGTTCGCTCACTTCCCGATCTACTGAGCCGACCTGTGACAGTCTCATTGTCACAGGTCGGCTCAGATTATGAGGCTGAGTGAAAATCACTCACCTCATAGTTCTCCTTTCAAACATTAAAACACACTAATAAGATAAGAAAAATAGTTAAATATATAAAAAAAAGCTCTATAGGTTCCCTTTAAATTGTCATTTGCGGTGAAGCAAAGAACCAGCCCAACAGCAGATGACAAACAACATCACATTGGACTCGCACCTCATTGGCATTTAGATGAGTCTATTCTATAATTCATTATGCGGCCAGCAGATAACAGCGCTCTATAAATACCAGGCGGCTTTACTGTGCTACTAATAAAATAGAAACATAAACCATCATCCCAGTAACCAACAGGTATAAGGCAGGTATAAGGGTAACATTATTTCAAGGTAGTTATCCATTACATCTGATGCTGTGTTTACACTACAGATCCACACCAGGTCCAGGATATTCGGGTTTTTCCACTTTGTTTACATATTTGTGAATGCGATCGCAAGAAACTCACAATCTACCTAACACCAGCGGTCCTCCTTATCAACTTGTGATACAGCAATAAAGACTTCAGATAATATGAAATGGGTCACCCAGGGACAATGTTTACATTACACCGGATCTAACAGCATCATGTACTGTGGACAGATATATTTTTCTATGTCCGGGCGACTAAAAATTGGGTTTTTGTTTGCTGTCTGTGCTGCCATTGGAGAGATTGTACCCTCATTTCCTATTCTCTTATGTCCGTATGTTACCTAGGTAGATGCAGATGCTGAAATGAAGAAACTGAAAAGAGCGCCTCCATAGTGTAAAACTGCTTTAATAAAACAATGTGAAAAAAGTTCAAATGTGCTCACAAGACAATAGGAGTAAACCAGCATATAAAAAGTTTCAGCAGACGCAAGCAGGGAATTCCAGCGCAGCCGACAAGCTGCAACCCTTCTAGATCAGATGACGCGTTTCAGAACCCTGATGAAGGAGGCACGCCTCTGAAACGCGTCAACTGATCTAGAAGGGTTGCAGCTTGTCGGCTGCGCTGGAATTCCCTGCTTGCGTCTGCTGAAACTTTTTATATGCTGGTTTACTCCTATTGTCTTGTGAGCACATTTGAACTTTTTTCACATTGTTTTATTAAAGCAGTTTTACACTATGGAGGCGCTCTTTTCAGTTTCTTCATTTCAGTCCATGTGGTCGTCCCAGACCAGTGTGAGCTGCCTATTCAGTGTATCGATTCACTTTTCCCCCACAGTCATCTGTGCTGGCGCCTGTAGTGTTAAAGGAGAACTATGGGGTTAAGGCTTTTCCCCATAACCTGGGAAAGCTGAAGATCCGAAATCTCACAAGAATTTGCTCCTGAACAGAGTTTACAGGATTTTGGAATCCTCAGCTTTCCCAACAACCGGCGGTGAGGTCCATTGACGTCACTGGTTCACAGGATGCATCTGGAAGCCGGGGAGTAACTTTTATTGGTTTTTTTTATTTCACTGCTTTTTTGGATAAAGGGGTCTAGAAGATGAGCAGGTCTTACATTTTAATGGTCCACTTTCATTTTTGTCGATAAACCTTTCACACCTGTGAACTGACTAGTGAACATGGCGCTGTGTGGATGTCATTGCAGGTGGTGGGAACGGCGGCACTTATGTTATGTATTTTGGCCATCGGTGATAAGAAGAACAGCCCAGCCCTGGATGGCATGCAGGCCGTGGTAGTCGGGCTCTTGGTAACCGTCATTGGAATGTCTATGGGCATGAATTCCGGATACGCCATCAACCCTGCCAGGGACCTGGGACCCCGAATCTTCACTGCCGCTGCAGGGTGGGGGCTGGAAGTGTTCAGGTAAACTCTTCATTGTTGTACGAGCTCCATATTGATACACAGATTCCATTTTTAAGGGAAACTATTACAGTTTGCGGTCAAATTATTATTTTTTAAATCAATTTTTAAACTGATGTTTAATATCTGTCCTTGTACAATCTATATACAACTTACAGCATTTAATACATGACATAGAAATCCCAGAGCACTATGGGATAGCTAAAGAGATTGATCACGGTGAATGATGGAGAAGGAGAGGGATGGGAAATGATTGTGAAGAAGGGCAGGGCAGAAACTGCTGATGGAGGAAGGGGGTGGCAACATAGTGTAGGAGAATGATAGGCAACTGAAGGTGTAGTAGGGCGATAGTGAACCGATGGTGGAGAAAGGGGCATGGGAAACTGATGGTGAAAGGGGGGATGGAAACTGATGGTGGAGAAGAGGGTTGGGATCTGTAAGGGACGACAGGGTGGGAACTAATGGTGAAGTAGCGAGATGGCTACCCATAGTGGAGAGGGGGTGGGAATTGCAGGTGAAGGAGATGGACTGGAGACTAATGGTGAAGAGGGATGGAAACTGATGGTGGAGAGGGGTTGAGAACTAATGGAGGTGGAGGGGAATGAGAAACTGATGGTGGAGAGAAGGATATGAACTGCTGAGGAAGGAAGGGATGGTAAACTGGTGAAGATGGAGGTGGTGTGGGGACTGATGGTGGAGGGGGGCACATGAGTTAATGGTGGAGTAAGGTGGTGCAGGGACTGATGGTGGGGCAGGGAGATGGGAAGTGAAGGCATGGGGGTAAGAACTGATAGTTAATGGGGGAGATGGAGGAGGGATGGAAATTCTTGGTGGAGGGGGATAGGAACTGTTAGTGGAGGGGGTAGATGGATATGATCTGATGATAGCAGAGTCTGGGGGACAATACCTAATATTAAATGCAATAGACACTAATGTGGGAAGAGGCAAGCAACATTCTGGAACCTCATCGTAGGGTATGCAGCAGAGTGGGAACCTGGAAACAAAGGAAAGCACTGCCAGTGTAGAGGGAGCAAGAAGAGTATCCGGAGACATTGAGAACATAAGACAGAAGGAGTGGAAGACACAGAAGTGGGTCACATGAAGAAATGTCTGTATGAGAGGATGGAGAATGGGAACAGAAGAGATGTGACAGTATGATAGAGAGAAGTGGTGGGACAAATAGGAGAACGGCAACAAAGCATAAGAGTGCTTGCATCCATTAGAAGAGAGGTACATATTGAACGAATATCAGGATGAATGGCCACAGAGGGGGACAGTGGACACACTAAGGGGGAGAGTGGATAGACATAAGAAGAGAACCAGGGAATAAGGGGCCACAGTGGAGGGAAGAGCAAAGCTGAGCATGACAATGGAGGGGATAAAAGGGGTCACACAGGAGGAGAGAGTAACTTTGGGAAAGGAGTAGAACACAGAGAAAAGTGGAACGTGATCCTTGAGATATGTAAAGCCAAATGTGTGCAAGAATCCTCAACTAATGGGCAAGAAACGTGAAGCACCCTTCTCTCTTCATATTATAAATGCCGAAAGAATATAGGGACATGTCAATGGACAAATGTCTTGCTGGAACCAGTTTCCAACCATAAACCACAGTCTTTGTCTTCCATTTTAGGGCTGGGAACTACTGGTTCTGGATACCTATTGTGGCCCCTCTAGTGGGCGCCCTGACCGGGGCTTTCCTGTACAAGCTGCTGGTGGGACTTCACCATCAGAAAGACCAGGGGGAGAAAAAGTTACAGGAGGTGGAGAAGACGAACACAGAGATGGTGAACTGTGAACACATGTAAATTCTGGGACTATATAAGGAGATGGGACCTTCAATCTCCACTCACACAGCACTGGTTGACATTTTGGACTCTATAAGAGGCAACAGTTGTATATAAGCAAGATGAATTGTATATAAGAACTGACCTGGAGGAGATGGGAAACTAAAGCGAGACTAATGTAATATTGTGTCAATAATTGCATTTCATGTAAAGCACTTTGGCAGCTTAGTCCAGGGGTAGGCAACCTCAGAAGTCCAGCCGCTGTGAAACTGAACATCCCATCATGCATCTGCCCCTGGGAGTCATGACTGTGGCTGTTAGGGTCTTGCAATGCATCATGGGAATTGTAGGTTCACAACAGCTGTAGGGCCTAAGTTGCCTACCACTGGCTTAGTCAGTCATCCTTTGTCCTGGACAGAGCCACAATGCAGATTGCATTCCCAGAACTGACACTTCAGCACCCCTAGTGGTAGGGAGCAGGTACTGCTTCTACTCGGCTTCATACACTGCGGCAAAAGTGGCTATTGTAATCTTCTACTTAAATTGCTTGCATTAACCCCTCCCCCCATCTAATTATGTTTTAATAATGACGGAGCTGAATACATTTGTGTCTTTTATATCTACTTGGAGTTCAGCTTTGAGGACAGGTAATGCAGCAGATCTGCAGATGACAGTACGTGTCATACAACCAGGAAGACCGAGGACATCTGGTGGCCGAATTGTATTACTGCGGGGACAGCACCAGTCAGGAATATTGCAGCCAGAGCTGCATTTCTTTATTGTAACACATCTGGGACATCATTCGGGCTGTAGGCTGCATTGGGCTTTAATTGCTTTCTACGAATATGTAAATATTTGACTGTTCATAGCTTGGCCGCAGCTCTGCTTTACAGTAAATCAATAATTATTTTTTTATTCCGTTTTTAGAAATATGCGTTAATGTGATAACTTTCTGTACATATTCTCATCAGTCGGTGTTACTATTTAAAAACATTTATTTCTATGTATACTTTGTTAATATACTTGTACATGGGAGCAGCCATATTTGCTCATTACATATGCAGTCTCTGCTTTGTTTTCTGTAGTACTGCACTGTACAGTTTACTATGCAAAAAATAAGAGATAGCATGGTCGGATTAAGAGCATCACGGGCCTGGTGCTGAGGATTTTGGTGGGCCTTATTATGGAAATGGCGACAGTCATCGGGGGCCCTCTTCCTCCTGTCCAGGCTGTGATTTGTAGTATCTCTACAGCTTGGAGTCAGTGGTGGAGCGCCAGAGCCTGGTTTCAGGGTTTACAAATCCCAGCAATAAATTACACAGCAATGCAGGATAATACCACTAACTATAGAGGACTACAAATCCAAGCAATACATTATAAAGCAATGTAGAATGGCACCAGCTATAGAGGACTACAAATCCCAGCAATACATTATACAGCAATGCAGAATAATATGAAGCTACATGCTCTGTGTTGCTCCGGGTTCACGGCCCGATGTCTCCAGGGTCTCAGGAGAGCTGTGCAGGGTTTAGGGGGGGGGCTGTGCAGGCTCTCAGAAGGCTGTGCAGGCTCCTAGGAGGCCAGTGAGGGCTCCAAGTGGTCAGTGAGGGCTCTAGGTGGTCACTGCAGGCTCTAGGTGGTCAGAGTGGTCTCCAGGTGGTCAGTGCGGGCTCCAGGTGGTCAGTACTGGGTCTTAGGTGGTCAGTGCGGGCTCCATGTGGTCAGTGCCAGCTTCACATGGTCAGTATGGGCTTCAGGTGGCCAGTGCGGCCTCCACGTGGTCAGTGAGGGTTCCAGGCGGTCAGTGAGGGTTCCAGGCGGTCAGTGAGGGCTCAGAACGAATCACTTTCCTATCTGGGAATGTTTTGACTTGATAAGTACGCCCACATTTTTTTTTAGCCTGCACATAACTGTTATTATCGATTCCAAAATTGTGCAAGGCTCTGCAGAGCAGACAGATCGGAGAGTAAACCTGAAGCATGTTACCATAGCTGGAACAGTGATCAGAGTGGTTCCCAATCCTTAGTGGGAATGGAGCTGCCAGTTACAGTCAGGATTGGAGGCCACCAACTGACACTGGTGGCCTTCAAATGGAGGACATTGTATGGTGCTGAGGAGTGTTAACACCTAGACTGTGGGAGGCAGGGCTGTAGCTACCATGGGGCGAGTGAGGCCTGGCTGCGCCCCCTCGCCACTGTTACCATGGCGAGCACAGGGGCCAAAACAGCCCCAGCTTGGTAGGGAGAAGAGAAGCGGCACAGGCTCCAGCTTCTCCTCGGATCCCTGCTGCTCTCCCCCACTAGTATGGGCAGAGGACTCTGTGTCCTCAATCTCTTTTTCTTTCTCAAAAGAGAAATGTCAGGGGTCTGTTTAGATCCCTAAATATTTCCCCGAAGCCCCCCAACAGAAAAATAATAAATTCTGGATTACCACATCCTGGAGGCCCGGGCGCATGATGTCACATACCGCGCACGTCTGTTTGGGGGGCACAATTTTCTGTTCTTGCCCCGGGCGCAAAAGGCGCTAGCTACGGCTCTGTGTGGGCGGAAAGGGCTTAAATGCAGTAGAGATAAGCTAGGTCACCCGGCCGTAGTGTGTGGCAGGGCTTGGTAAATTTCACGACTGGACAGACAGAAAGGTGAGGCGGCTCCTGCGTATGCATTTAGCTGCTTGCTTGGCGTTCACCTTTGAAACTTCATCGTGCAGGCATGAATGAGAACGAATGTAAAAAACCCCCCCAAAAAAAGACTTTTCTATAAAGGTTACACTAATGATTCAGCATGCGTGCTCACTGTATGTACACCATGTTATTCCCTCGATAATCTCCATCTGACGTTAGCAGAAGGCAATCTGGATTCTTTGTGATTCTCACGATCTTTTCCCGTCTAAATATTGTGTTACTATAAACACTGCTGTTTGCTGCGCTCTCCCCAGATCCCGATAATGTTTATCAAATATCCTTATGTGTGTACTTTTAGGTGCGTCACCAGCAGGCATTTATCATCGCCGTATCGCTCGCGCCGCATTATCTCGCTGAAAAAGGTGGTTCGCAGGTCCCGAATGTTTACAGGTGTGAAGCTTGGCTGAGTAATACTTTAGAACAGACGCCGTCACCTTGCCCACGCATGGGTTCTCTTTACTGCGATCCACTGACCGCGGCGGCAATGCTTTGCAGACTTCAATGCAAAAACAAAATAATAATAAATGCACATTTTTTTATTTTATTAATGTGGGTGAATTTATTTCTTTTTGGTTTGAAAATGTCTTTTAACCCCTTAAGGACCAAAGCCTTTTTTTTTTTTAAATATTTTGTTTACATGTTATAATCCACATTTTGGGCCTGAAAATTGCCTAAAACTCCCTCCTCATTGGCCTTCCACTACACAGGATATCCCCCCTTCAGTCTATCATGAATGCAGCTGCCAGACTCATTCACCTTACCAACCACTCAGTGTCTGCATCCCCCCTCTGCCAATCCCTGCACTGGCTTCCATCCCCCGCCCCCCCTCTGCCAATCCCTCCACTGGCTTCCACTCGCCCAGAGGATAAAATTCAAATAAAAATTGTGTGCGTCCGTGAAACTGCGTCAGAATTCAGTACCCCAAAAAGTCCATAGACAACAATTTAAAAGCTCCCACAGGTCATCAGTGTAGAGATACGCATAAATACTGGCCCGAGAATTATTGCTCGCACTCCGGCGTGCGCGGCGATACCCAACATGTGTAGCGCGTTCGTCGTTTTCATACGTAGGCGCACCCGACGCGTGTTTACGTGGCGACGCGATTAATATTATTTTTAAAACTGTTTTTTTCTAACTTTACTTTAATTGCTATCACATAGGGGGGCTTACAAGTCCCCCATATGATGACCTAATGGCAGTGACAGGTACTCTTTAGGGTGATGCTGGGGGTCCAAAAGACCCCTAGTGTCACCTTTACACTAGAAATAAGCTATTGAAGTGCACATCGCAGTTCAATAGCTTATTGATGGGCTTCAGGAGCCGAGCAATGACAGCTATGGGACCGGAAGCGATGCAATACGCGTCGCTCCAGGTCACATAGTACGGGGAAGGGATCGCGGCTCTGCCCCCCAGCTTCCCGCCGACACCCGGCAAGCCAGTCCCGGGCCCGTAGGAGGGGCAACGGAGTCCGGGAAACAAGGCAGGGGTGTCTGGCAGGGGGGCAGCTTGGTTACCAAATCGTAGAAGCGATCTGGCGCCAGCTGAGCCTCCAGAATCGCTTCTACTGTAAAGCCGGCCTACCGGCTCGACAAAACGGAACAGACTCCCGACGGCTTTTGTCTGGGTAACCTCTTCCGACTTCATGACGGGATTATCCCGTCATAGGTCGTGAAGGGGTTAAATAGGTTTTAGAGCATATTAATACCATTTTTGGCAGTGATGGGCAAATCTGTCTCTCCAGCTGTTGTGGAACTACAAGTCCCATGAGGCATTGCAAGACTGACAGTTACAGGCATGACTCCCAGAGGCAGAGTATGTTGGGATTTGTAGTTAAAGCACAGCCAAAGGGCCCCCCCCTTGCACCTCCCCCCTCCCCCGAATTATGGTATTCACTTTGGAAGTAATGCAGGTAGAGATGAGATCGATTTCTTGGATTTGATGATTTTTTAAAGGCTTAGTTGACCTTTCTGACCCTGCTTCATGTTACACTCATATTTAGGGGGTAACCCGAAACATGGCCAGACCCCCCCCCCCCAGTTACCTGAATGGTGGAGTTCTTCTCCCTGCACGCATGTCTACATTTTTTATTTATTTGGCACAGCTCCGCCCACAAAGCCACATCCTCCATTCACAGATCATTTGACAGGGTCTGTGAACGGAGAAAAAGTCCCATCACCCACCACGACTCGTAGTTCCCAATGGAATACAAGCGCGGTGATGTCAACGCACTTGCAGTCTATTGGCATTTCCCTGGCACGGACATGGACGGGAGGAAGAGTCTGCAGGAGCCCGAGCATTGCACCTGCTTTCTACTGACGGGGGTTGTAATGATTGACAAGCTTCAATAAAACAAAATAAATCAATACATAAATGCACATTTGTTGTCTTTGATGAGGAAGTGTAC